GAACGTCGAAACCGACGCCCCCCCCCCCTTCCCATCTCAATAAGCCTGGGAGCAGCTGTTCTAGTCAAGGTCTTGCACAAAAGCCGCAGGGAGCTTCCCCGCTGGCTCCTCCCAGCCTGCTGCCTCCATGCTGGGTTTGGGACCATTTTACCGCAGGATTCATAGCAGGGCCAGGAGGGAGCTGCAGGCTTTTCCTCCTCAGATCTGAGGTTACTCTCAGATTCATGGGAGCCATAAACCCGCGCCCTATTTCTGCTCTAATTGAGGCTATTTGTATTGTGACTTAAAATAATCAGAGACAATTTTATTGGTATATTTTTAAAAATAATTACATCCCATATATTTAAGTTATGTAACTGCAGTGGCAATTTGCTTGGACTCCCTAGAGCCCCCACTTGAAGGGCCTATGTTGGAGGAGCCCTGCCCCTCCTCTAGCACCCTGCGCCTCCCCAAATCCCAAGCAAAGCTGATGTTGACAGGCACAGATCCTCAAGGCTTAAGGCATAGTCAGAGGCCTTCCAAGCGACATGCAGGTTTGGAGGCAGGCATGCCGGCTCAGTGACCCCAGAGCACAGCAGGAGAGTGGGGGGCAGGCTGGGAAGTGGGGCTCTGAAGCCTAGCCAGGCCCTGGCTCAACTCTGGCTTTCATGGTGGATGTCTGTCCCTTGCCACCAAGCACTGAGTCATTCGTTTTCTGTTCATCCCCATTTTTCTCTGGGAACCACCTCTCCCACTTTCCCTTTCTCCTGTTTCTGGAGCAGTTGATTGTCTACAAGCTCTGGGGTGAACCCACCAGAGCATCACATTCCCCAGTCATGGTGATTGGTTCAGGGCTAAGCATGTGACCCAGTCAGAGCCAATGAAATAGCATATGCTCTTTCCACTGAGTTTATCTCTGGGCAATTGCAGGTCTAGAATGGCTGACCACCATCTTGCCCCCATGCGGAGCTGGAGAATGACGCCAATATGGAGATGAGCTGAGCAAAGAGAGGTGGAGGAGAGAAGGTCCTCGTGGTATCATTTGAGCACCTGGAACTCAGGCTCCCCTGGATTTTTTGGATATGTGAACCAATACATCCCGTTTTGACTAAAGCCCATCTGAGCTGGTCTTGTGTCACTGTGACCAAGAGTTTTATCGATATAACTTCTGCAAGCCTGTGTATTCCCACCTCTAAAGAGAAAGCATAATAGCTCCAGTGAGTTTGTCCTGGCAATGCATGGAGAGTATCTGTGTAGAGCACCAATCACAGCACTTGGTACAGAGTAATCACTCAATAGATGTCCCTGGCTGTCATTATGGGCACAGTGGGGCACTGGATGCTTCTCACCAAGACAGGGTCTGGAAAGAGGAGACAGAGAGGCTATGAGGGGGTGGAGCAGCCCCGAAGGCCCTGGCCCCACTGCTCTTGGGTGGCAGAAGCACTTTTCCTACGGCTTGACAGCATGGCCTAACACGATTGATTGTGCTCAGTCAGGGCCCCTTACTGTGCCCTGGTTGGTTCTGTATTGATCTTCCCCACACAGCACAGGCTGAAAGGAAAGAGCCAGTAAGTGGAGAAGGCACAGACAAGGCACGTGCCAGGAGAGGCCTGGGGAGGCCAGAGGCCACACCTCCCACACTTGGACCCAGCCATGCTCCTGAGGACTTATAGCATGCGAAACTCCCGTGCCTCCTTCCCCCTGCACTGCTCTGCTGCCCTGGGTTGAACTGTGATGCCTCAGTAGTCCCCCTGGGGCCCTGCATCTGGAGCTGGGAAGTCTGGCCTGTGTATACAGCAGCCCTAACATGGCCAGGCACTGTAGCCAAGTGAGTC